TTGTAAGTGTGTTGGTCGTTTGCCCTCATAATCGCATGGCTGACTGTGAGTTGCAGCTCACTGCTTTTACCAAACATCAAGAGATTATGGTACCTCATAGCGCTAGCCCAGGGAAAGATCAAAATTCAAAATTTGAAGTGCTATTTCTACTGAATGCATATCATTTTCACACCATCATAAAGGCAAAAAATTGTAGGTTGAACCATCTTAAGTTGGGGACTGTCTGTATGCCCAAAAGAATTGAGAGCAGAGACTTCAACAGATTTTGTACTTCCATGTTTATAGGAGCATTATTCACAATAGTCAAAAGAGAGAAGCAATCCAAATGTCCATTGAGAGATGAATAGATAAATAATGTGTACTATTCACATTCAATAGAATATGATTCAGCCTTAAAAAGGAATGGAATTCTGCTACATGCTATAATATGGGTGAACCTTGAAAAAATTACGCTAAGTTAAATAAACCAGACATAAAAAGACAAATACTGTATTATTTCACCTTTATAAGGTGCCTAGAATAGTCAAATTCATATAGACAAAGAGTAGAATAGTTACCAGGGGCTGTGGGGAGAGGGTAACGGGAAGTTCTTGTTTAATAGATACAGAATTTCAGTTTGAGATGATGAAGTCTCTGGAGATGGATAGTGGTGAGGATTCCACAACTATGTGAATGTACTTAATGCCACTGAACTGTATACTTATAAATAGTTCAAATGTAAATTTTGTATTATGTATATTTTTTCCACCATAAAAAATCCAAAAAAGGACCGTTTTTAAAGTGAATAATTCAGTGGCATTTAGTACATTAACAATGCCATCTAACTACCACCTCTGTCTAGTTTCAAAACATTTCCATCACCCCAAAGTAAAACTCCTCACTCACTAAGAAGTTTCCCTCCTTCATCTTCTCCTCCAAGTCCCTGGCAGCAACCAATGTGTGTTATATCTTGTATTGGTCTTCTAGGTCTGCCATGACGAAATACCACAAATTAGGCGCTTAAACAACAAAAATTAATTTCTCACAGTTCTGGAGGTTGGAATTCCAAGATCAAGTTGTCAGCAGGTTTGGTTTCTCCTGAGGCCTCTCCCCTTGGCTTGCAGATGGCTGTCTTATCACAATATCCTCACATGGCCTTTTTGTTGTGAGCGAATTCTCCTGGTGTCTCTTCCTCTTCTTACCAGAACATCAGGCCTATTTGATTGGAGCCCCACTGTTATGACCTCATTTAACCTTATCTGCCTCCCTAAACACTCTGTCTCCAAATATAGTCATATTGGGGGTTAGAGCTTCAACCTATGAATTTGGGGAAACACAATTCAGTATATAACATTCCATCCTCTTGCCCCCCAATATTCATGTCCTTCTCATATGCAAAATACAAAATACATTCATCCTATTCCAACAGCCCTCAAAGTCTTAACCCATTCCAGCACCAACTCCAAGTCCAAATTCTCATCTAAATAACATCTAAAGCAAGTCTGGGTGAGACTGGAGGCATGATTCATCCTTAGGCAAGACTCTTTTCCAGTTGTGAACCCATGAAACTAAAGAAGTTATGTGCTTCCAAATGCAATTGTGGGATAGGCATAAGATAGACATTTCCCCTCCAAAAGAGAGAAATCCAATATTATGAAGCTTTCCCCTTATGTTTTCTTCTAAGTTTTTTAGCTCCTAGGTTTAAATTTTCATCCATTTTGAGATAATTTTTGTATATGGTATGAGGTAAGGGTCCAACCTCATTCTTTTGCATGCGGCTATACAGTTTTCCCAACACTATTTGTTGAAAAGACTGTCCTTTCCCCATTGAATGGTCTTGGCACCCTTGTTGAAAGTCATTTGACCATATATGTGCAGGTTTATTTCTGGGTTGTCTATTCTATTCCATCGGCCTATGTGTCTTTATGCCAGTACCACACTGTTTTGATTATTGTAGCCTTTGATATTTGTAGCTCTAATGAGTTCTCCTGTAGAGCTTCCAGTGGGAAAACAGCTCTGCCCACATGTTGATTTCTGACTTCTGGTCTCCAGAACTATGAGAGAATAAATTTTTGTTGTGGTAATTTTTTTTACAGCAGCCATAGGAAACCAATACTAACAGTGAGCGACAGGGTCAGTGGCGAATGAGTATTTATTCCCTATTTTTACCTTATCACCTTTTCCCTGAGACAAGCAGATAAACACTCTCTAGTTATTGGATAAATCCAAAATGGCTAGAACAGAGTCTCACAATTAAGGTTTTAAATGGGCAAGAGGAATGCAGTTTTTATTCATTTTATTGTTTATGTTACCCACATTGGAATGAGAGTGAAAAGCATTACATGGTCTTCAGTGAGGAAATACATCTTATTAAGACTTACAGACGTTCCCCTTGAACTTTTATTTACTGTCTTGCTTACTTTAGAGAAGATTTAATATTTTTACATAAAAGTTACCAATTTTTCCCTTTATGGTTTCATCTTTTCTTATTTTTCTAATGCTCACTTCTCTATGCTCTTTTTCCTGAATCCAGATTAACATATTTTCTTTAATTTTATCGGTTTGTCCTTAATATATTTGAGATAAAAATGTATGGACGGGTAATTATCAAACTTTAGTGTTCATCAGAATCACCTGGGAGCTTGTTAACACTGCAGTTACCTGGGCTCTGTTACCAAAGAGTGGTTCTTGGGTGTGGGACAGGGATTCTGTGTTTTAAACAAGCCCTGCATGTGATTCTGAAGCATGTGACAGGCTAGCAAACTTGGAGGAACACTGACATATACTATCTTAAAAAGATCTCACGTGTTGATTTTGGGTGTAATTCCTCCTCTTTGATATGTCTTTCAGAAGATGTATATTCCAGATAAATGAAATGACTTCCTTAGGGTCACACAGTCAATCAGAGGTAGTGCAGAGAAAATAAACCAAAGATATTTTAGTCATAAATTATACTCACTTGTTCTCAACTCTGCAAGTACATTAGACTCCCTGTGGGAGCTTTCACAATGTAATGATCCCTTGGTCTCACTTCTAATGAGTCTGATTCAATTGGGTGGGGGTGAGTCCTGAGCTCCACTTTAAAATCTCAGGTGATTCAGACCTGCAGCCAAGGTTGAGAACCTATGCACTAAAGATAACAGCATAAAAATAAGACAGCTGTCTGTTTAAAAAGGGCACAATATAATGGGCAAATAATGCCTGGTGTATATAGGTTAACTAAGGCACTTCAAAAATGCCTTCACAGGAGATATTTATATATATATATTTTTATACACATATATGTATATATGAAATGAGGAGGGGAATGTCCAAACTTGAACTAAAGTTGGGGCCTCTCTGCTTTAATTTATCTAAGTCCAGAGATGTCTGATGAACTTGTAGGATGCAGTGGGAGTGGAGTAAAACCTAGTTTCCTGAATTTTTAGCCAGTTCCCCAGGTGATTCCAATGCAGCTGCATTGCATGGAACATGTTGATAAACACTGACATATATAACATTACAATAAGTCCATGTGTTGTAATTGGTGTATAATGCTTTCTCTATTGTGTTCCTTTTTCAATTGCAAGCTACAATCTGTAAGGAAAAGAAGTTATTTGCCAATGAATGATCAGAGGCAAACCTTGGCCCAGATTGCAGGACTCTTGACTCAACTGTAGTTAACTGTTGTTCCCTACGACTTACCAGACCCTGTGCTAGGCACTGAGAGTACTAGGACAAATGAGACAATATATTCACTGTAAGAAGGGAAGTCTAGTTGGGGAGTAGTGATGACTGGGTGGTGGAAAATGTTCTAAAACAAGGATCCATCTACTAGGTCCTCAATCCTGGCCAGTTTCCCATTGATGTGAAATTACAAGTTTATTTGGCACAGAAAAAATAAAAGCAAATGAAGAAGGAAACTGCTCTGGATTCCTGTAAGTTGTGTGAGTAGAAACTACTGGAGACTCCTGGGGGGAAGATAGTGTGGATCAGAACAGTCGTGGGGACATAAAGCCACCCCCATAACACCTGTGTATGTACAGAGTGAAACCTGTAGCCGTGTCTGGATAGAAAATGGAGAGTCAGGGAGACGGGGCCATATGCATCAGAGGATGTAAGGCATAGTCCAATTCTGAGCACACTATCATGAGTGTCACTCAGATTTATCTCTGGGAAAGGGAGTGAGGGATAAAGTCTGATAAAAACCATAAGGGGCTCTTTGGATCCCTAAGCAGCACTGGGGAAGTAACCACCTAGATTAAGTATAACTCTAAAGCAGGAAAGGGCACTCTCCACATTTCTGAAAGGGCAAAATGAGGATTCAGATCACTGAGGGTTCCACAAAAGTCAATGAGTCTTTGTCACCTTTAAGACCCCAGCACATCAGCAGTGGTGGGGACCAGTGGAGGGAGCAAAACCTAGCAGAAGGGGAAGGAGTGCCTACCAGTCATGGTATTATCCAGGGAAGGGAGACACAGCAGCACAGTTATAGAAGGTGTCATCCACTTGGCAGTCAATTGGACTGGCTTGTAGGCATACTCCTTAGGTCCTTCCCTAAATATGAAGGGCACCTAGAGGGTTGGGGCCTTGCATGTGTGGAGAGGGCCCACCACAGAGTTCAGTCATTACCTCATTTGAGTCCCACAGTAGCCCTGTAAAGCATGTATTATCTTCATTTTTGTAGATGGATAGGCTGACTTTAAAGAAATATATCTGTAATAATTACCAGGTTTGTGCTTCTCTATAAGAGATCCAGAGGTAATATGATTTATATGTCTTTAAATTGTGTCTCAAGTATAAATTGTGTCTCAAGTACTTATTGTTTCTATTCCCTTTATAAACTGACAGGCAAGTTGTTTGCTTCTTACTTTTCTTTTGACACATATAACATGTATGTATTCATTTTGGAAAAATGATAAAAAAACAGATAATCAATAAAAAATAAGGAAAATAAGAAAAAAACACATTCTGATGTATATATACATATATAGATAATAGGCACACTTTTAAATGAGATAGTATATCTATAGACTGCTTTTTAAACTGCTTTATTAACTTTACAATATGTAATAAACATCTTTCCATTCAAGTTGATGGAACTCCCCTGCTGACAAAAAAACTTACAGACTAAGTCAAAACAAAATCTCCAGTCAGAAAAATAACAGAACACCAAAGATTCATAGTAAAGAGTACACCAAGGAAATGCAAGTTTGGGAAGCAGGGGGTTTATAATTATTAACCTCAGCATTCAAGGCGTAAGGCAAAACTCATCATGATGGTCATGGTGAGGGGGATCTCCTATAAGAATGCGCAGACTGTACCTCAACTGAAGCTCCCTAATTTTCCTCCTTAGCTCTCTCATCTCCTCCATGAACCGTTCCATATCATCTGCATCTCCATCTATCATGTCAATGTTATTGAAAAGCCTGTTGGGAATATCCTTTCTCAAATCCTGGGCAAGTGGAGCCCAACCCCCTCTAATATTTCCTCCAGGCTCCTGGCCTTCACCACCTCCCAAATGGCCAGCTTCTTCTTCATTCTGCACTGGGGTCTGCTCCCTTCCTTTGCTTTCCTGGGGAACATTTTCCATGTTGAGATTTTTTCCTGCTTCTTCTTCCTAGAGATAAAAAGCAAGAAGAGGGATTGAGTGCTTTGCAACAAGATTTAGAGTTCTGTTAGCAAAGGTTTTCCCATCTGAGAGACTTCGCAGCAGGGGTGCCCCAGACCCAGCCCTGCCCCAAAGTCCACAATTTTCCCTGAGAATACTTTCCCTAGGCGATTCCTGTCACCAAAAGCTAGGATGGGTAGTGGGCGGGACGGTGGTTGAGAGACCAAGCCTCAGCTTCAAGGGATCCTGATAAGTCCTCCAGGGGCGCCCGAGAGCTTGTCCCACTGCTCCCTTCTTCCCCCACCAGCCACAAGCAGCAGTTTCTAAAGACTTCGCTGGGTTTCTGCTGGACTTAACTAGGGCAGGGAGGGCTGCCACTTCCCCAGATTCTGTTCTGATCCCTGATATCCCTACACTAGAGGGCCCTCGGTAGCCCCCCTACCTGCAGGGATCAGAAGCAATCTTCCTCTCTTAGCTTTGAATTCTGCTGCACCAACAGACCTAAAGACCTGCAGACAGAAATGCGACAATACCCAGGACTGATCACTTGATTAAAGGACCAGTATCGGGGGCACCAGCTCCATTGCTGATTTAATACTCTGCTAGCCAAATGTTGCCACCTTCTCTTTCTCCCCTATCCTGTCTCATGGCTTCTTTTCCCGCCCTGTGACACACCACCCCGCCTTCCAGAAATAGGCTTTGTAATCAAAGATGATTATTTCCAAAACCAGTTTAGGCTGCTTATCCTCACTGTCTCGCCCCTTCTGTTGACTAATTACCATTTCTTGAACGCAAATGGACAATTTGCAGGGCGGGGGAGTCAGAAGAACGTGCTGGGTGGCGACTTTTTTAAACATATATATATGTATATATATATATATATATATATATATATATATATGGAATTTCAATCTGGGTTTCCTCCAGGACCTTTTGGGACCCAGTGGCTTTTCTCGAGCCCACTGTCCTTCCGTTGCCACCTATTTAATGCATCAAGATGGACGAAGAACGAAGAGGTAGTGTGGGCGTTGCAAACCTGGTCCTGCTGCAGTCTCAGCGCTTTGTCATGCTTACCCCAGGGTCCGCAGGCAGCACCCACGCTTATACCGACTTGCAGGGACCAGAAACAGTTTCTCGCTCCCCGCCTATATCTGTCATCCCTCAGTCAGAAGTCCGCCTGCTCGACTGCCCCCTGCGCAGAAGGGACCTGCTTCCCAGACCTAATCCCTGCCCTTCTCCTCTGCAGCAACCGCCCTCAACCTGGGTTCCCGCAGCCCACCATTTCCGGCTCCAAAATGGACAGAGGGTGAAGATACCGGGAATGGAGGCGTGCGGTGTCCCTTATCCCCAACACAGGGTCACCACCTTTGCCCCCTCCCGTTGCCCTGCAGGAATCAGGCCTTTCCCTCGCCGTCCTCTTCTCTGCTCCTTCTCTTCCAGACGTCACCCGATCGCCCACCTCCTAGGAGATCCCAACTGGTACTCATTCTCTCCCTTGGCCCCTCTCGATCTCCTCCAATCAAGCCCTACATTTCTTGCACCAAACGGGTGGGCGTCAGGGAAGGGGTAAAGAGAATCTAGTCCTGAGCCCGCTCTGGTCTTTGCCTTCTGCCATCCCCACCCCAGTCAGCGCCCACCAACCTGCCACGGATCCGGGTCAGCTTCTACGACTTCTTCCTTCCCTGTTTTACAGGCTCGCCCGCCTTCAAGGAAATAGCGAGCCGGCGGGCAGCCACACACGACTACCAGACCACAAGTAGAAGGAGAGACTAATCCATGCGTTGGTTCTAGGTCTCCTAAGGGCCACGTCACTGTGAGTTCAGATCCCCAATTATGGTTCATACCTGCAGTGAGGCAGGAGAGGGGGGGGCGGGAGCGTGGGCGGGGCCACTTTTCTCCTCATTCTGGCCGTCTCCCCACCACTATCGTAGGCTACTTCCCATCCCTTATTTTTTTTTTTTCCTGTTTAGCAATCTTCGAGACCAAACGGGACGTAATATATTGTAGTTTGCATTTGCCTTTTCCCTGATTTCTGCTGGAGTTTTTAAAGAATTGCTTCTTCCTCTTTTATACCATTGAATGCCCACTTCTTTCCCTTCCACTCCTCAACAAGTAAAGAAAGCCCAGAATTTCCGGGGCGGGGGAGGGGGGCGAGGTTAGGAAATCTGGAAACTAGGTAGGAAGTGACTTTTTTTAAAACTTTCACCTAATTATTTCCCTTTCTGTTTATTTTTTTGGAAGTGGTGTGTGATTGTTTTTGTTTTGTTTCTCATCAGCATGCATTCACTTTTTTGGTTGTTAAATTAGACAATACAATTATTTTCAATTGAAAAAATAGGATTCTAGCTGTAAAATTTTGGCAACCTATTTCTGTGCTGAATCATCCTATAAATATAGACCCTCCAGACTGCACCCCCCTCTCCCTTTTAAGGACTTTGAAATATAAACCTGAGCTGGTGGTTCCCCTTGCAAAGGGTCTCTGCAGGGGTTTCCATGAGGTGAGACAGTTAGTCCAATAGATTTTTGATGGTGGATTTTTGGATCTTGAGAGCCTGTGACAAACTTATGGTCTCCTTTAAATTATATTAGTGCAACTTCATTTTACAGCAAGACACTAGCATGGCCTCTAAAATAGAGCAACACTGAGGTCTTCCAACAATTCAGAACAATAATTTGGGAAAATTATGCCGACAGCATTGTGAAGCTACAATATTAAAACAATATTATACCAGAATAAATATAGAACAAATAAAACAGAAGAGAAAGCTAATTATCAAACCCAAATATGGGGAAATACCAGTAATCTGATTGAAATATTTTGAATTGGTGGGGAAAATTTAGATTACTGAAGAAATGTTGCTGAGGTAATTGATTAGCCATTTGGAAAAAAGTGAAGTGCCTTCTTCCTATTTTAAACCTAATTAAACTAAATGTTTAGATAAAAAGACATAAAACCATTGTAAATAGTATGTAAGAAATGTTATTTTGTATATAATCATAGGATGAGAAATGTCATTCTTTAAAAATGTAGTACCAGAGACAGACATGGCCAAAAGGTAACTGGCCCAATGCTGCTCGGGACCCTTTAAGCCTAAGGTACCATGTAGAATGCTCCTCAGAATTATCCCAATTTGGCCATGGGAAACTGGAGTGTATATCCACAGACATGGGTTCTTATTGGTGGATGCTACCTTGGGAATGTTAAAATCTATGACACTTCTAGGTTGTCTTAAGCCTGGGCTGAGCAAGCTCCCAAGGTGCCAGAAAAAAACCTTCAGTAAAATTAGAAAATACAGATAAGGTAGAAGGACAATATCAGCTTTATCTCTGCCTCAAGAAAGATACTATTCACATTTTACTCTAAATCAGTCCAAATGTTTTCCTTCAAAATAAAGAACACACACATACATCCATTCCCATATTTATGAACATTTGGACTGTTTGTAGTTTTCACTATGAGAGACCATATTGATTGAACTTCTTTGTACATAGACTTTTTTAGTACTAATATGAGGGTATTAAATTCCTGGAACTATCCCAGCTCTATATGACTATGGATGCTTTTAATTGTCATAGAAATTGGCCTCAAAAAATATTGTGCCAATTTGGCATCTATAAGGAATGAGCATTCCTGTTTCTCATGTGTCCATCAACATTGAGTATTACCCGATTTATTGTATTGTTAAAGTTTTGTTTTATTTTTTTGTTTCATTTTGTCTTATTTCTTTTATTTTTAAAAATTTCTTGTCAAGACAACCAAGTAATGTTTTCTAAACCTGCTACATCATAACAGACACCTGAGATTAAGATTCCCAGACTCTTATCTGAAGATTCTAGTTCAGTAGATTGGAGCCAGGTCTGGGAACCTGCGCTTAAGTTCCTTACAGAATTCGTAATATCAGGTGGGGTTGGGAATCGTGTCATAGGCAAAACCCAAAATGAAACAAAAAAAGCCTCCAGTTTTTATGTAAGAGGTCTTTTTAAAAGAACATTACTGTGAAATAATTTCAAAGGTACAGAATGATTTTGAAAATAGGACAAAGAACCCCACACGCCCTGCACTATGTTCCCTAGTTGTCGATATTTTGCTACCTTTGCTTTATCATTCTCTCTTTATGTAGAAGGACATATTTTATCCGAGTCAATTGAGTCAGTTGAAGACTAAATGGTCATTTAAAAATATTTAGTTCAATTCATTCCATATTAAATTTTCTTAAAGATGTCTTTTTTTTGTCTTTGGAGATTTCTTATATAAAATTTTAAATATATATATATAAACTTAGAATGTTTAAAGATAAATATTTTAATGTATAGTCTTACTAAATGTTCTCTATCATACTCATGTAATTTATTTATTCATCTATTTTAATGGAATAGTGTACCATTAACCATTCTGCTACTTGTTTTTTTATTTGCTTAAATGTATTTTCAGGTTCATAACGATTTAACTACTCTACTTGTTTTTAATGTCTCAAGAATGTTCAAATTATCATAATTTATTTAAGCAATCCTCAGTTGCTTCATATTAGTATTATTTCCATATATTTACAGCTACCAATATTGTTTCAATAAATATATATATGCAGATTGGCCTCCGAAAATGTTGTCTGTTTGTTCATACCCTCACCAACACAGGTTGTAATCAATCATATAAATTTATAAAATATTTGAATCATACAAAATGAGGTTGGAGAATATAGCATACATCATGCTTTTATACTGTATAGAGTTTTAAATAATATATAAGCATGTATATATATACATATAATTGCATACAGAGTTATAGTTAAAGTAAATGTGTGTGTATATATGTATGTGTGGGTGTCTATATATATGTATATATATGTATGCATACGCAAACACACAACCTGCTTTTCTTACAAATCACATTTTTGAGATTCATCCAGTTGATATATATATAGATGTAGGTCATTTATTTTTACAGCAATATAGTATTCCATTGTATAATTTTATTGTAACTCATTTTTTGTTTTCCTATTGATGCACATTTAGATTTTTCTCTACTTTTTTCTGTTTTGAGCATAGTTTCAGTGAATGTCCTTGTTTGTGGTTGCTTTGTACTTTTTTCACTTGAACAGCAAAATTTTGTTTTTCTTTTGTGTATTTTTAAGTTTTTCTTTTGTAAGCCTAATCTGCCTTTTCTTGGGTGACATCCTAGATATTTAAATAACACCTAGATACACACTTTCATCCTCTGGAGGTTTTAACTTAGTAGATCTGGGATGGGACATGGGAGTTTGTATTTTAAGAAGTACACCAGGTAATTTATAAGAGATCAGGCAAATTTGGGAAACACTTTAATGGGTTTAAAAAGATCATCTTGGGGCCAACCTGGTGGTGAAGTGGCTAGGGGTTTGCTGGTTCAGATCCTGTGTGTAGACCTACACAGTGCTCATCAAGTCGGGCTGTGGCTGGCGTCCCACATATGAAGAAGTGGAGGAAGATGAGCACAGATGTTAGCTCAGGGCCAATCTTCCTCAAAAAAAAATCTTGTCAATTTGCTGACTTATTCCCTTTAATTCTTAGTGTAGTTCAACTTCTGTTTTTAAATATCTTTATTGTCCTTAATGACTGGGTTTTAAAAAATAAAGTAACACAGATATGTATAATGTAGAAAGTGAATGTTTCCTATATATTATTTCAGAAATTTAAGTTTGTATATATTTACATATAAGAATACTTTCTTAGCTCAAGCAAGGGTGAATTAATACGTAAAATTGTTCTTTAATATTTAGGATGTTACACAGCTTCTAAGCAGAGTAGCACTTAAGAACAAAATTTTAGGTTGAAGGGAAAAGTTTCAAACTGAATACATTTCCCTAAGTTTTCTGTACAGGCAAACAATTTATTTTGGTAAACTCTGAAATTGTTTAACACACACAGACACACACACACGCCACTCATTGATCTGTAATTTCCGTTTCTTCCAGGTTTTTCTCAGTCACTGTTCTTTTTAAAATATTTTTTTAACGATTGAGATGTTTTTCAAAAATAAAACAATCCACGCAGATTGGTGTATATTACTGGAAATAATTTTCTATGCATATACTATGTACAGGAAAACTTTATTAAATCAGGGAAGAATTACATCATAAATGAGAGTTTCTTCTTCAAGCACAGTACAGAATTATGTTTAACAGCAAGATGAAAGTTTGAAGAAAAATAAAGTTTTAAAGTCACTACGTTTTTCCCGTTTACTCTACACAGGGAACTAATGTCCACTGCTCAAATAAGTTTTTAAAAAAGTGAGTACAATTTTTTTCCAGTGCTAAAAATTGTAAAAATTTCATGGTCATAAAAGATTATTTGTTCTTTTGTTATTTCAAATGCTTTAAAATTTGTAATGTAAGTCATACAGTAATGACTAGTGCAACAATTATTGTTGTTTTCAAAATTCTATCAGCTAATGTAAAGCATCTGTTTCTCAAGCTTAGTAAAATTTTGTTAAAGAAAGCTTAGTATTCAAATGCTATTGAAACCCAATTCTTTTTTTTTTTCCTTTTTCTCCCCAAAGCCCCCCGGTACATAGTTGTACATTCTTCGTTGTGGGTCCTTCTAGTTGTGGCACGTGGGACGCTGCCTCAGCATGATTTGATGAGCAGTGCCATGTCCGCGCCCAGGATTCGAACTGACGAAACAGTGGGCTGCCTGCAGCGGAGCACGCGAACTTAACCACTCGACCACAGGGCCAGCCCCCGAAACTCAATTCTTCTTGATAATATTAATAAGAATGATTTAAGATAAATCTCCCTGCTGTAGTAGAAATAAAGGTGATTCTTAATCACGTCCTTCTTAATCTTAAACACATTG